TTTGTAATTAAAAAGATATGAAGATTAAATGAATAAAGTTACTTTATCTTGCTTGACTTATCTATTTAATCTGAATTACATTTAATTTAGAGAAATGATATGAAAAATACACCGAATACATAAAATAATCTCTTTGAACAATAATTTGCAGAGATGATACAAACACTGCACTGCCAGCAACTAATTTTTTTCATATTTTCTCCCCATCTACTCATAGCAATGAGTATATTATTAACTAATTATTAACAGTGATTGGGTATATTATTAACTAATCCACACTTAGGATTTTGCTTTGTGGTCCAGGTTGGTCTTGAAGTTGTAGGCTCGGGTCTCCTTCCTGCCTCAGACTTCTGAGTGAGTGGGACACCATGTATGTACTCCCATGCCCAGTGTCATATTTTAAAATCTATCTCAACAGTAAAGACTTACCAAGGTGGTTGAATGGGACCTAGATTTAGGCAAAACAACACAGAATAAAATGTCTCTCCAGAGAGCCTCTTTATTTCACTAGAGATCAAATGCCACATTACACTAGAACCCAGACTTCAAGAAAAAAAAACAAAAACAAACAAAAAACCAAAAAAAACCTGTAATAAATGGCAAACACAATTCTATTTAAAGGTCAAAGGAAATGTGAATTTATTAATAATCAAGAATTAAGAAATCACCTAAGTCTCAAAAACCATACTTTCCCAAATAGCACTGTTCAAGTTTCTATTTTTCTGAAAAACCTGGCAAAGTGACTATCTGCTACTGGCAGAAAAGAAGCTAGAAGCACACAGAAGCACAGTCTCTCTGAGGCCCTTGAACAAGGAGACTCCTTGCCCTCCTAAATTCGTGCCCTCCTTAGGGATTGCCAGTCTGAATGGGTGAGAATGAAGCATTGAGTTAGATGGAGCTGCTACCGGCTGCATGACTCATGGCAAGCCATTCCCCCACTTCTCAGATTCACTGTAAGTTCACCGAATGACAGGTTCAAGCTCTTGGAAGATTTAAATGATTTTACTCAGCATGATTCATGTTTAACTTCTATAGAATTTTGTTGTGGAGTAAATGAAGATACACATAACATTTCAAATGATTCTGTAAAGACGAGGTGCTATTAGTTGGTATTTCTTTATCATATTAAAAATATATGGAAGCAATTTTGATTTTCCAATTTAGTGGCATATAGGTTTTAGAAGTATGTCCTTATGAGTCTCTGGATTTCATCACTGTCTGTTGTTATGTTCCCCTTTCATCTCTAATTCTATTAGTTTGGACCATCTCCCTTCATCTTTTAGTTAAATTGGCTAAGGGTTTCTCAATCTTAATGATTTTCTCAAAGAACTAATTATTTTATCGATTATTTATATTGTTTTTGATATTGTTGTGTCTATTTTATTGATTTCATCCCTGAGTTTGAGTATTTCTTGTAATCTTCTTTTAGGCATTATTTCTTCTTTTTGTTCTAGAACATTCAGGTGTGCTGTTAGCTTACAATTTTGAGAGCTCTCCAATTTTTGAAAACACTTTATATATATATATATATATCACTATATCATAAAGCATACATGAACTGTAACCTGTAATTTCACCTAAAATATAAGAATTAGAATTTCATTTAAAAAATTACTTAATAAAGGTATAGTTCAAAATCTAAAAAGGTTGACTTATTTATTATTTCCTTATCAGGGGTTTGGAGAAATATCTCAATGAATAATACCTAAAGTAGGTATTTCATTGCAGCCCCTTCCCACTTTAGCTTGTTTCTCACATAAGTTTTAAAACATAGTTTCTCTCATAGCATGTGATATACTTCTCATAGTCATGCCTTGGGTAACTTATTCTCTATAGAAAATTGAAAGTGAATTCCTGGTTTAGTATAGTTTAACCACAATCTGTCTTTGCCACAGGCAACTGAGCAGGGGGCGGAGCACTGCACCATGAAGATGTGACCTCAGCAGTAGGGCTGGAGGTCAGGCAGCAGAGGTTGGCCTGGATGTGCAGTCCGGGAGCCTCATAACTGCTCTGTGCTACTGCTTTCCAGCGACACTCTTTTTAAACCTGCGCTTTCAGAATTCACCACACGAGCTTAATTTACTACAAACTCAGTTATCTCCCCAAGCACAGCATCTGTTTCTTGAAAGCAGGGACTGTAATACTACACATCTTTAAAAGGCTATAACAAAGAACCATTCACAACGATTTCAGAACAAAGTATTTTCTAACGTTTGAGGATTGTAAGCCATTTAAGAAAGAAATGCTTACTTTTCTAGCAGTCCCAATTTCCTAGAACTTGCCTTGAATAAATAAGGTTAACATAAACTCACTTCAGAGTATAAGTTCATACAAGCACTTTTCTACATAGTCTATGGCGCAAAGTCCGTTTCTATTAGTGCTAATAGGTCATCCATTACATTTCTGGACGAAAGCTTTCTCCTGTACTAAACACTGTAGGGCCTGCACATTTCATCTGGGCTTTTAGTGAAGGTTTATATCTCAGTGTGTGTGTATATAATGTGTGTGTGTGTGCGCGCACACACACACACACACACAAATAAATAGATTTCAAGATTTATTTTATTTTTAGTCATGTATGACCATATATGTGTATATATGGGTACGAGCTCCTTTGAGTACAGGGACCTGTGGAGTCCAGAAGAGGGCTTTGGAGTTCCAGGCTGCTTGTCAGAGGAAATTGAACTCAGGTTCTTTGCAAAACAAATATTCACTCTTACACACATAGTCATCTCTCCAACCCCTAAAATTTCTATTTTTATATATTATATGCACATTATTTGTTTTGGTGTTTCTATATTTCATATCCTAACATATTTGTATAATTAAGAACACCTATTTAGCCACATTTAAAATTTATTTGAATAATAGACAAGTAGTAAATTTTTTTCTAAAATATTTTTATCAATTCTTTAAGAATGACATATGATTTATTTTGAACTTACTCACTACAACTCTTCTCTCAATCTCCTTCTAGACATACCCCCTAGAATTACAGAATTTTCTGATAGAAACCAAATGCCTCAATTGTCTGCAGGGTTGAGAAAACTAAATCCTAAAGACATTGTTCAAGACTCTACAGTCAATTACAACTGGGGCTAGGGCTGAACACCAGTTCATCTGGCTGTGAGTGACAATTTTTTTCCACAAAGACTAACTTGTTTGTTTGTTTTTTGAGACAGGGTTTCTCTGTGTGTAGCCCTGAATGTCCTGGAACTCACTCGGTAGTCCAGGCTAGCCTTCAACTCAAGGGATCCACTGCCTCCCAAGAATGGGATGCCCAGCTAGTAGTCATTTACCACTGATCATATATTTTATCTTATATATAATATATATAAACTTTCTAGGAAGGTTATGACTTAAAATGAGGTCAAGCATATTAGTGACCAAAACAAAGTCAGGCATAGCCACATTACCTGCATCCTACAGCTCACTGGCAATGCCTCTGAGATAGTACGCCTCTGAATAGACACACATGATACAAATATGCAAACTCACAGAACTCACTGCTATGAAAGTCTGAGGCAAATGGAACGACTCCCACCTAAGTTGCTGAAGCTTGCACGAGCCCCTTTGTGAGATCCAGCTGTTTCTCCATTCTGAATCTTTATATTATCTGTTTCTGTGAGAATCACTCTCCCTGCTGCTAGAGACTTCCCATCTGTCCTTCCTGTTCTTTCCCTCCACAGAACAGGAACGTCTTTATGCTATCTATACCTTATTGGCTGGCAGGCATAAAAAATTTCTCAAACTGATTTAAGATAATATAGCAATGCAACCAGATACTCAACATCTATGCCTTTGAGACCAAGTTTCTTCCCAGGGGGGAAAAAAACTGACTCGGCAGAAAAACGTTAAGAACTGATGGACAAGAGCGATCCCTTCCTTTCTAGTCATTGAAAGGAAAACCTTTAACTCAAGTCAAATATTCCTGTGCAGTATATGGAATAAATGTGTGATGGGTACACTACATGGTACACTTTCCATAATATATAACAGTGATAGGTATTACTGTTATAAATTCTGGTGGACATCTAAAGCATTAGAAATTAAACTCCTAAGATGTGGAAAAACTTAGTTATTGTAGTGCTTTAAAATTAGGATTTCATGTATTTTTAGACTTGGCTTACAAGCATGTTTATGATGTAGATGTCAAATTTATATAGTACTTTACACTTACAAAATGTTTTTTTTTGTCACTTCAAACTTAAGAGTTACCTCACTAAATACCATTTTCAGTTTTGTAATAAAAATTCTAAGACAGGTGTAATAATAGTTACAACAAGGATTATATGTTAGATTTCTAAATATATAGCTCAATAAATACTGAGAAAAAAATTTCTAAATCTAAGCATTTCCTCATTAAAGTATATAATTTATATAGAGATTAACATAACCTCTATAATGATAAATTCCAAATGTCTTCACAGAAGAAAAGTGATATGGCTCCCAAATTTCTGGGTAAGTTAAATTCAACTATTCAAGTTTAAAATTTTTATATTAGTCTCTTCATCACAGATAAGTATTTTGTAATTTTTCAGTTCTTGATTAAATAATTTTTAATTAGAAAAAATAGAAGAAAGAAAGAATACTAGCAGTAGTAAAGAATACTATGTAGTAGAAAGAATATTGTAATTTACAAACAGTTAAAAATAAAATTGTCTATAAGCCATAGTTCTTTTATTCAACTGAAAAACTCAGTCAGATTTAATATTGTACACGTCTAAATATTGTTTGAAATGATCTCCTTAACAGTATATAAGCTCAAGGTAGTTAATGTTAACATTACCAATTCTGAACTTTACAATCATTGCTATTTTAGGAAACAAAATTATTTCTTTATGAAAAGGGGGGAGAGATGCTTGGAGAGCATCTCTTTTGTCAAGTGTGAGAATTGACTATTAGATTGCAGAAGTGTTATTTCTGAATAGAAATAAGTACATTCATTAAAAAATAGCACTGAACATTTAAACAAATATGCAAAGCAGGAAGCTGCTCACCAGTTTGAGGGAACCCAAACTGATGAATAATCTCATCCGTGGTCAGCACAAACGACTGCTTCACCCTCTGCTTCTTTGTAGGGCCTGGTGGTGGTGAAGTCATTGAGAGATTTTTGTTGACCTGTAATAGGAAAGAGAAATCAGAAAGCACCTTAGATTTCCTGGGTTATGGATGCAAAAACTAGATGAGAAAGATTTGCTTAGTATCCAAAACAGGACATGCAACAGATGGAGGGGAATGGTGGTGACTTGGATGGTTGGTTTTTACAGCTGGGAGACAGGACAAGTTTTTATTAATGAGGGAAGATGATGACTCAAAATAATTGACCTTTCTAATCTACTTACTCTGGAATTGACACTATGCAACAATTTAAAATACGGGGAGCTTAAGTTTCAAAGAAATGCAAATATAAAAGCGACTCCTTGATTGTTTATAAATAAGAAAATTCAAATGTTTTCTACCCACATTTTTCTAGTATTTTTGTGAAATAGCAAAGAAGTCCCTTTTTCCAATGGAACAGAGAACAGCTGTGCTATTCAGGTTTATAGGTACAGATATAATACATTATACTCTAACTTCATGAAAAAGTTTTCATGGCATAAAAATCTTTTTGTTTAAGACTAAACACAGAATGATTGATTAAAAATGATAATCAAAGTTTCCACAAGTAAATATAAAATACTATAACATGTAAAACCTACCATGATTGTTCTGAGTATAACAGTTCCAAGAAATTAAATGTATAACAAGTGCATTTTCATCTGACTAGTTCACTAAAATAGTTAAAAAGTTTATTAGCAAATTTATCTTAGAATATAACTAATTTGAGGAAAATCTAATCTTGTTCACTATGAAAACTTCATTTTATATTTTCTTAGAATCATAAAATGTGATCCCCTTTTTTAAAAAATTGAGATAGCCTAAGGTTTAAAATTCACTTCAAATTCAAATAATCTTTGAATTAACAAAATACAAAGGTAACATACTATATATAAATATTGCTATGTAAAAATGTCTTTCTTTTTATTTTATTTACATTTCTTTAAAGAATCAAAACCACACAGAACTTTTCTAGGATTTTCATTGCATTAATGTTTAAAAATGATGTGTTCTATTTAGGCTAATGTTGGGCTATGGTTTACACACACACACACACACACACACACACACACACACACACATACACACACACCCTTTATCTGTCTCATGAATCAGACTGGAGAAAACTTAATTAAGACCATACAGCAATACAGCTCTAGAAAATCAAAATCGTTATGTTATCTCATAAAACATTAAAAATAATAACTTTTCATGGTATGACTATGGGAATCAAATCAGGACTCTACACATGCTAGGCAAGCACCCCAGAGCTATGTTCCCAGCCACAATAATTAGAAGGAGTCAAAACCACATCAGTGTTAACTGATTGCCAAATGGAAAAATTCTCAGGCTCCATTAATAAGCTCTGGCCAAAGTTAATATACTCTAACTATATGCTACTAAATAACAAAAAATCCTTTGAGATTCATCAATCACCTATAAATGGAGATTTCAATAAAAGTTATATATGTGCTTTAATAAGAATGTGCCATTAAATATGACATGGAATTGTAATATTCTACTTACAAGTACTAGGCAATACAGTAAATAGGTTAAGCAGTGCTGGTGGTATTGTGCAATGGCAGGGCTTCGTCTGTGTTATAAAATATCCACTACTTCTCTCTGTGAAAATAAACTATAAAGTGTAATACAAACATAGTACTGAATAAATATTAAGTATTAATATCATTCATCAGATAATCAGGCAAATCTAATGTAGATGATGCAGTAAGTAATTATTTCTGAATTCTCTGTTTTTAGTGGAAGTTTCTACATATGAAAAGACATTTATCACTTAACTAATTAACCTCTTGTTAGAGCCACTTGTTAGTTTTACTTTTGCATTCTTGGAAATCATTTTCAGACATGTTAACCAGTGTATCTAAAGTGCGATGTAAATGAGCAGGTGTATCCTAGGGTTGTAATTATATAATTCTAAGTCTATATCTATGCCATGGATATGGATATGCACATAATGTGTCTTTCACAATCTTTCTCTTTGGCGTTTCATCTGTGCTAAAACAAAAATGAATAGCAGAAAGTTAAAACAGCATGTCAAATGCCTCTGCTCAAACAAGAAGCTTCAACACACTTTAAAATGCATTAATGTTGTGTGTGGGGGAGCACAATAATTATATGTTTTCCCTAAGCAATTTTTATGATTCTGATCTTTCCTGACATCTTTTTTTGGATACCACTCAAATGTTAATAAAGTGATGAGTACCAACATTATAGAGCAGGTAACTCAATTTAAAAGATTTGAGATAGCAATCAATTATGATTAGTGGGGATTTGAAATTAGAAGTCAAAAGATTTTCAAAGTGATCTGACATATATTTAGAATTTCATTTAGAGGAAGGAAAATAATAATAACTGTAACATGAGGAGGCCTGCTTGTCTGTATTCTGTCAATAACCATTAAATAGAGTGGAGCAACACCTGCTTCTGAAATCTATGCTGGGGAAGATTGCTCCATAGCTTCACAGCAACAGAGAGGTTAGCTAAGACAGGCTGCCCTATACCAATCGACCCTCTTTTCACAACACAGTTTTCGGCTTGCTTCATGCAAAAACCACAGTTTGCCCAAGTCAGTTTAATGCCTCCATACTGGAGAAACCTAAAGGCACAAAATTTGAATAAAATTTATAATAAGGAAAAGGAAAAAAAATACCTAGATCTTCTGTCAAGTTAGTTACAAAACTGTTTTTCCTGTTCTTTCATGTATAAGCAGCTTCACACAAAACATGCAAGCACTCATTTTTAAGTAGTGGGTTAATCCTTGTTAAAAGTCATACTGCTCCAACATAAAACTGAATGCAAAAAAATAATCACACTAATAAATGGTTTCTCTTTCAGTATTTAAAACTTAAACCCCTAGGAAAGACAGAGCATTCCCTTCCATGCAGATTTACAAGTCTGATCACACCAGCCAATTTTACATCATCTGCTACTTTACCAGAACTAGAAATTTGTGAATTTTCAACCTCTAGTGATTCTTCAAAAACTGGCTTAGAATTAAAACTGAAAACACACTGATGCTACCTTGTTAAAGGTTCACAAATTCATGTCTTTCCCTGACAGCTGCCATTTTTCTACCTCAGAACTTACATTCTAAGAGTAACTATGTTGCTTTGGCTTACAGGATAGTGAAATGTATGAAAGGAGTAGTTTGTAGTATTTTAAGGAAAAACCTAAACATAATCTACAGACTCAGGTGCTTTCTTTATAAACCAGGACAGCGGAGTGCAAAAGAGTTGTAATGAACTGCATGGGAAGTTTACAACAGTCAAGTGCAGGAAATCCTTACTCTCTCTCCCTACTCTCAAATCAGGTCATTATACTATCAAAGCCAGAGCTCAGTGTGAAGCAGTCACTGAGAATCTCCCTTCTATAATCTAGTTGTTTGAGCCTGTAACCGATATCAAGGAATCATGATTCATAGACTACATGAAGTTCAAAATTAAAATCAGTCTAGCTCAAGCCAGTAATACAGCAATATGCCTCTAAGTAAGGCCACCTACCTAAAGACTCTTGGTTTCGTTAAGCCTTTACCTCTTTCCTCTCTTGCTACACTGTCCTTCCTCACAGGGACACTTCATCACAAATGGCCCGAGTTCCTTACTTCTAAACCTATGAAACACTACACTTCTTGAACTCGCTCTACTTTCTTCTTTCAGTGAGGGAGAAGGGGTGGTTCTGCTCAAGGCTACTCCGTCTTCAGTTTCTCACAGGAGTCAATAACTAGGCTATTCCAAAGTCTGCGAAGAAACTCTACAGAGTCCTGTCTGCTTAGGACAAAAGAACAGTAAACCAACAAAAGCTCTCCCTCTACCTCAGGAACTCCCTTAGGCTTCATTAAAAGAAAAGTTCTCTGAAAAACAGCACAGAAGCAATACCTCAGCTTATTTCAACAGAGCTCGTCTCCACAGCATGCTAAAATCAATGCCAAGTGGAGCACACTGTTCAGACGCGGTCGCTCTCCACCGTGCCATGTACGCTCACTTTCTTCTCACCCTTTCCTGCCATTCCTCACGTCTACCCATTTGGTCACAATGGTGTTTGCTAGATGTGACCACTTCTTCCCGCATATCACCTCACCTCATGGAGTTTCCCCAGGTAGGAACATCTATATCATCACTTCATGTGCTCTCTAACTGTGTCGCTGAGATCTAGGAAAACCTAGGCATAGAGGTGACCTAGCCTTTCCCTAGGAGCACTGCCCCCTCCCTTGGTGGACCAGGCAGGAATTCTTGATTCATCCCAGACTGCTCCTCACCTGCACATAGAGACCACCAACTACACAGCAGGTCCTCCATCCAAGTCAGCCCCTCCATGCACCTCAGAGCAATGAAGATTAACTGGTTCTTATCTAGTTTCCAAATGTCAGGAAGAGATTATATTTTTAAAAGTATATATGTATTGGTTCCCTCACAGACCAGAAGATGGTGTTGAATCTCCTAGAACTGGAGTTACAGGTGGTTGCAAGTCACTTAATTATGGGTACTGGGAACTGAAGTCAGGTCCTGTGCATTAGCAGCAAGTACTCTTAATTTCTGAGACATCTCTCTAGCCCTTACATGAGAGGACTTTTGGGTGATGACAGCCACATGTTAACTGTGTCACTTGTCTATAAATATGAATGGTGACTGGCTGTGGGTACCAATAGTAATTGCTTATGAATATCTGACAGTAACTGGTTATAGATGTTTCATATCTCCAGTATCAGGTATGACTAACTTGCAGGATTGTACCCTACACTGCTCCTAAAACAAAAGCTCCTTACTTGCATTCATAAGTAAGGCTCTGAAGATTCTCAGAAACTCTAAACAGATATGGGTCAACCATGCTTGAACCAGAAGCACTCAAACTCCATGACCTTCTGATCCTGTTATATCTTTGCCCAGAAGCCCCAGCCATTTTCCTTGTCTCTGATTTTTCATAATATTTTGTATTAATTAGTCATCAGTAACCACAATATTAATAAAAATTAGCCATAATAGTCCAGCCACAGGAACAGTATG